ACGACGATTCCACCATATCGACTGGGTTCCAAATAGCATCTCATACTATTTAGCCTCCAACTTTTCTTTCTACCAAAGTATAATTTGCCAAAGTGTGTGTAATGACTTACTGTAATAAACTGTAATGTAATGTCGCTTATTTAAAATTATATTATTATCCCTTTATAATATGTATATTATTTATTTTATTAAGAATAGGAAAATAGGGAATAATACCGTTTATTTCTCTTGTAAAATATATTTTTAGGAGTAGTAAGAGTTGTTTGTGATTTATTATTTATTTGAACAAAGTAATGCTTTGTTATATGGCGTTGCTGTATACGTTTATGTAATTTTCCTATTTTAAATACATTTCCCTAATTTCAAACACTTTTTCTTTTATTCTTCACAACAAATGCTATTCTCTCTGTTATTGAAAATATGGGGATAGTGATTCGAATTCAAATTCAAATATTTTTATTTGTGATAATACAACATCTTGGCCTCGCCAAATTTACAAAACTCGCCGGCTAGGTCCAATTGGTTCACAAAAATTAAAAAATATATTTTAAATTTTTCCTCTTTTTCTTTTTAACAAAAAAAATGTCTACTAATTCCATGGCGGTTTGTGGCAGGCACCTATCTATAAATAATTGCATTTAAAAAAAATACCCTTATTCAATTCATTTAGTTCACAATAAACCTTTTCTTAATGTTTCCTTACTACTTAAGTCTAACTTTACTGAATAGGACTATTTATGATATGTTTCATATTGGGTATTAATGAAATAAAATATAAATTTATATGATAATGCTCCGATTTGAGATTTTGAAAATGGAGCCAACAAAAATTACTATTGATTATTATTGTAACGTAAACATATCTTGCGATCGTAGACACTCAAGACTTTAAGCTACTTTTCAATTTCTAACCAAAATATTGAGTATATCAAAATCACATGACGTAACAAAAGGTGGCACCAGTACGAAGCTATTGTCGAGTTGAATGTGTTACAGAAAACAATAACTCAAATGTCATACGCCATTGTATCTGTGTTTGCCCTATTTCCTTTCGTTCATGACGGTTGCATCGCCAATTTCGTCACTTTATCCTTGTAACATAAATGATCCAAAACACATTTAAAACAGCTTACATTGTCACTAATGTAACTTCTGTTGCGATATATGTGAGTTCGTATCATTATGATAGAGATGGTTCACAGTTCTGAGGCAATATTCCTCAGCGTTGGAGGAACGTCAAGTATCCAGCTATTGATTGCAGGCTGCGTAAAGTATCTCATAACCGCGAGACCGAAATTGATTCCTCTCACTTCAGCGGAAATTAAAAAGTCTACTTTGAATTTTATTCCTCTAACTTAATAATTTCAGTCTTACTTCTCAAAAATCCTTTTTTCAAAGAGTGAACTGTGCTGATAAAATTTACAATTACCAAACCCCCTGACATCACCACCATGGTCTCGTATAACATCGTGACACTGACTGAGCCGTAGTCTGGGCTTTGAAACAATATATATCCCCTTTGATATTTGTTATAGCTTTAAGAAACACAACGGAGTGTTTTATGGTCAATAGTCTAGTTCTTAGAGCACCTACTTATTTATACAAAGATGTATAGCATTTACTGATTTATGAAGGCGATATTTGTGATATAATATCTTTTTAAACTATGAAAACGTCTGGTCTATAAGAGTCAAACTGTATAATTTTAATGTAATGTTATGTTTTGTAGTAAAATACATTCTTTGTAAGATATGAACCCACGTTGTTCCGTATTCATCAAGAATATATGAATAATGTATGAAATTATACATAAATAAATCGATCTATTTTTGTCTCATAAAAACATGTGAACGTGTATTTGTAAATACAACAGGCTTTTTCATAAGTTTCTTATAAGTTAAGGTAGTATTAATGGGTAAACATTTTCCAAATAAATCCAAACAATACTATTACTAATTCCTATTCTAATAGGACTTGCTAATTTCATCCTTGCCATTTAACCAGTGGAATTTGGAAGGTCAGTCGATTACAAGCCGAAGCGAGATAGAGAGGTATTCTACAGAAAGAAGCTTTTTACTGAGCGATGACAGATGATCTTCCCCCCTCCACAACACAAATCGTCCATAACGTTGAATTATATAATGATATATCAACTGTGAATGGGTTGAGGCTTTTCCACCTTATGAAGAGTAAACTATTGAAAAACAACTACATACAATGAAAATGTTGGTGTCTTGATTGTTGATAATGAGTATGGATAAAATGTTTTAAATTGTGCATTCCACTGCAACACTGTATTTTCAAAAAGTTTTCTCAAAAATCGTTAAATGCTCACATTAGTATTGCAATTTATTTGCACGTATTGATGGATATGGAATGAATTTTACTAAACTTAAAAAGACTATAAGTTAAAACTAATTTTATGTCATACCATAGTCAACATTTTTTAAGCATACCAGAAGAAACTCACAATCCATTGTCAGTCTCTTTAAAATAGCTATGCCTTGTAAACGTTGTCTAACCTAACATAATTCATATCCAAGTAATAATTGAACTTGTTTATAGTATACGTATATGCACAATAAATTAAAAACTTAATTTCAAAAAAATCTAACAGTCCTGGTAAAAATATGGGATGGAAGAAACCTTACAAAGACAATCCAAAAGAGATTCTTCATCGTTAAAGGCAATCTGTGTGATTGATATTCAAAACCTGCCTACCTCTAACATTCATGTGCACAATATGGCATCTTATTCAAGCTAGAAGAAAGAGGTTTCAATTTAACATCAAAGAGAGGTTTTATTTTATTTTTATCTTTTCGTTTCCCTTAATTTTCGTAACGGAAAACTTTCATGAAAATAAGTATGTAAAATTGCAGAATAAATGTGAATCTTTCATATGTTCCAAAATGTTACTCAAAATCATGCAATCTCCCTAAAAATCGATAACAGATAAAAACATATTGTTGTAGAGTGTTACTTGGTAAAATATGTCAGAGCCCCTTAAAATAAACATTCAAACATGCTTTGTATGTAGGTTAGTCATAGCTTTCAATAAATCTAACTATATACACTATAATTGGGACCTATAGAATTGGTGACAACGTGTTGTTGAGGCCAAGTACCAGATTAGGACATGGCAGTAAATACATAGTCTAAAATATTAACTGTTGAAACTTCAGAAATTTAAAACACAGCAATTAAACTTGACAGCACGTCAGTATTGACACAATATGGCTCGATTGCAATAAAATACATTCATCTTCTATTTCGAAGCTTATTGTCAAACGTTCTAGAATCATTTGAATACGACAACAAAATACGTTATGAATACCAAAGGATTCAGCAGACCACACCTGCCATTACACCCTCCTTTAGTAATAAATGTTTTCTACTTTATTAATTATTTACCTATGCGTATCTTAGACATAAACACAAGTGATATGTTATGTAACACGTCTAGAAACGCAAATTAAGTTACACGAGTTAACATGCCTCTGGTGTTATTTTACATTTGCGAGTAAAAGATCCTTTTTAAGCTAAAATTAAAAAATATTTATTTTGTCCTTACAAAATATTAAACATTTAAAGTAACTAGGCACCAGTGATGTTGACGACGACGTCGGGAGTTTATTGTTATCTGGGGTATTACAAGACACGCTACGGGCGGAATGTACTTCCTAATACGTGCTTATTTAAGTTTTAAACTTTTCATTATAGATAAAGGACAAGCCATAAAAATGCGTTTTCCATTCATACAACTTTATATAAATTATTTCACAAAATAACGACCCAAATCTTGACTTTAATTTGGGAAAAATATTTCTTGAATTCAAGGGAATGATCGGCATTTTACATTGATTGATGTCTCATGAAAATGTTATTTTAAAAGGTATATCTCATTAACATTATGTATAAACTATTTATTTCATTCCATATTTTTATTATTACTATTCTATTATTGTTTTACTATTATTTATTTTTTTATTTACTAAATCGATGACTAACAGCAGTTTAAAATCATATTTCTAATCCCATGTAAGAAGTACATACTAAGTAATTTAACAAAAAAATAAAACACTAAGACTAGAGGAAGGAGTGGACTTCAGACTGGTGTGTTGCTGGCCTAGTGAGTATCATCTCAAGATTCCACGCGGGGACAGGTTCTATTCCCGATTGGACTGCTTTCACTTAAAAGTTTTTGAATTAATTTTATACAAAATATCACAGACGTAGAGAATGACAACATAAGTCTATAAAGTTTGTATTTTGACAATAAAAACATAATAGTTTGAATAACAATGATAAAATAATCATTAGTATTATCACTAATAAATATAAAATAGTATAATTTTTCTATCGTCTATGTATTTTTCGCTTAATATTTGTAAACGTTTGAGCAAATAATGACAGCTATATTCGTTAGAATGCATTCAAAATATCTCGAATGCGAGAAAAATTTATTAAAATTATTTTGCTATACACGAAAGAGAAACTTGTAACCATGTCAAATCTGGCAAGATAATGGTCGGTTGTAATACAATAGCTACATTTACAATTTATTTTGTAGTTTATTGTAAAACGTGAATACCAAGGGGTTCAGGTGACATTTGAGTAGCCTTTACACCAGTGTTTGTAAAAAAATGGCAGTTGTCCTTAAATTCATTTTCAAACATTGCTATTCCCTTCGATATATCACAAAAATACTTATTCAGGTTTTCTCAAATGTTATTAGTTATTACTCTAAGTGTTTTTCACCCGAACAGGGTTATTATCAATTTGTTCAGGAAGAAGAAACTGAAATTCCTAAACATTCCGAGCCTTTATGTAATCGAGTTGATTGTGTAAGAGAAAATTATGTAGTTTTTAATATCATAAAACTCTTATATATTGGTGTTATAAACCAGAAGAGATATTGTTTTGTTTATTATATAATCAACGGTATTAACCATATTACATATAGTACCTATACATATTGGCAAGTTATTATCAAGAAGGCCATGAGGAAGACGCGGAGAATAGGCGAAGAGGACCGGCTCGCTGTCTTGGAAATTCTACAAGTGAGTACGGATCGCCATTTTTACTATCACTTTTTCTAAGTCCAATTAGCCTAGAAATTATCAAGTTAAATGCATTTACATTAACTGGCGACGAGTGTAAATTAAAGTATTTTACTTTGTGCGCGTGTGAAAGTCTTTTTTTCGATTTACAAGAGAAAATTAAATTGTGTTCGACCAAAAGGAGTTTGGTCCAAACAGGCAAAGACGCCTTGCAGGAAAAATCTGGTCGAAAAAGAAGGAAAATTTTGATTTTTACTGGAATTCAAGCATTATTCCGAAGCTAAAAGTATTTTATATTTTGGAGAAAGGTATTTGGTTGTATATAAGTCTATTTTTTCCCAACGAGTTGGTTTTGTGATGGAGTAATGAACTTTTTAAAACTTCCATACTCATGTCTAGGGTTGCCCCTTTTAAGGCCTAGGCCTATTGTCTTACTTCAGACACCATATGATAATCACGAAAAATGGCTTCGAAACAAATACTAGGGAAAATACAAGAGTTCAATAAAGACCAGGAGTCTTTTGAAAATTATATTGAAAGATTACAATTTTTCTTTAAAGTAAACTCAATTGAGGACAATGCTAAAGTTCCCCTTTTTATCTCCCTTATGGGACCAGATCTTTATAGCACGCTTAAAAATCTTTTATTGCCAAAGAAACCTGGTGAGGTTACATTTGACGTCATTGTTACGACTTTAACTTCATTCTTTTTGCCTAAGAAAAATAAGGCCTATGAACGTTTTGTCTTTAATAAGTGTGCACAGAAGGAGGGGGAGGCGGTGTCAGAGTTTGCCGTACAGCTAAAAAAACTTGCGTCCACTTGCGACTTCAAGGAGTTCTTGGATGATGCTCTCAGGGATAGGTTTTTGTGTGGCCTTCGTTCAAACGAGATTCAGAGTAGGCTATTATCCGAAGGTGATACTCTTACCTTTGACAAGGCATTACAGTTAGCCCTAGTTTTAGAAGATGCTTCTCGTAGTGTAAGGAGTTTGCACCCAGATTTATCAGACCGCACCATTTCTGAAATTAATTTTGTAAAGGCTCAGAGGCCTAGAGACCAATCAGGGGGGTTCAATCACAACTACAAAGGTCAACGCCAGAGATTGTGTTATTGCTGCGGGAAAAACCATGATTTTAAGAATTGTTTTTACAAGGATTTTATCTGTCATAACTGTAATAAGAAGGGGCATTTGTCCAAAATGTGTAGGCAGCCTTCAAGTAGACCTTTGGTAAAGGGCAAAATAAATCTCTGTTCGGAGAGTGATGAAGATGAATTAGCGGGAACTAAGTCGGCTACTGCGCCGGAATATGAGTTGTATAGTATAGGCCTAGCCTACACTGGTAGTAGTCATGGTTCAACACCTAAGAATTCTTTTACCGTAGAAATGTTAATCAATAGTTTACCTATCAAAATGCTTATTGACACTGGAGCAGTGGTTAGCATAATGCCAGAAGATGTTTTTGTTAATACCTTTAAGGAGGATAGGCCTAAGTTAACGAAAAGCAACATTTACCTTAAGACTTATACTGGACAGCGTTTAAGTGTTCTGGGCGAGTTTCAGGCGAGAGTCACAAATAATGACACAACGTTAGATCTGCCGATGGTGATCATCCGAAGTGAAACTCCAAACCAACCAGTGTTACTAGGCAGGAACTGGCTTAACAGGATCAAATTGGACTGGGGAAAACTGGTCAAGGATAATAACCTAGATGGAAGACAAGTGAAGGACAAGGACATGGTGGGCGTTGTAAACGGTAAGAATTTTCCAATAGATTCTACCGTAAGGAGTTTGAAGGAAACTTTTGCGCCTGTTTTTGAAGTAGGTGTAGGGACTATAAAGGGAACAGAAGTAGAATTGGTTCTGAAAGAGAATGCTAAACCAATATTTTGTAAAGCTCGTAACATTCCGTTTGCCTTAAGAGGGGCTGTTGAGAAGGAAATCGAAAAACTTGTGGAAAATGAAGTAATCTATCCAGTTACGCAAACTGAGTGGAGTACACCAATTGTGGTGGTAGGGAAACCTAACAATGAAGTAAGAATATGTTGTGATTTTAAGGTTACATTGAACCCCTGGTTGAGAACCGATCATTATCCACTACCGACAACCGAGGATATTTTCTCAAACATATCCGGTGCAAAAGTTTTCACAAAAATTGATTTGAGTTCAGCATATAATCAAATCTGTGTTAGTCCAAGCTCTCAAGAGCTATTGACAATTAATACACCTAAGGGTTTATTCAGATATAAGAGACTCCCTTTTGGGATAACAAGTGCTGGCGCAATTTTCCAGTCAGTTATGGATAAAATTCTAGCAGGGATTGAAAATGTACACTGTTACCTGGATGATATCCTTATTACTTCTCAGTCTTTTGAAGGTTTTCTACGAAAAGGTTAAGGAGGTTTTGTCCCGATTGCAACAGTACGGAGTGCGAATTAACGCAGGGAAAAGTGAATTTTTTAGGGACAGTCTTACATTTTTGGGACATCGTCTGGATGCAAGGGGAATATACCCCAGTGAGGAATTAACAGCAGATATTGTTAAGGCTCCTAGGCCAACCGATCTAACCCAACTGCGGTCATACATAGGCTTATTAAACTACTACGGGAAATTTCTCCCAAATTTGTCTACTCTGCTACACCCTTTATACAACTTGTTAAACAAGGGGGTCAAGTGGTCCTGGTCGGAAGAGTGTGAAAAAGCATTTCAAAAGAGTAAAGAGCTCCTTTTGACAAACAAGGTTCTCATACCCTTCAATCCGAAACTAGACATAGTTGTCATGGCGGATGCTAGTCCATATGGAGTAGGGTGGGTAATCTCACATCGGCTTCCTGACGGGTCCGAAAAACCCATAGCCTTTGGATCAAGAACATTATCAGTACATGAGGCTCGATACTCACAAATAGAGAAGGAAGCGCTCGCTTTAGTATTTGTTGTAAAAAAATTTCATACCTTCTTGTACGGTAGACGTTTTATCTTAGCAACGGATCACCGTCCCTTGACCTTTTTGCTTGGTCATAACAAGTCAATCCCTACTTTAGCAGCCGCCCGGATTCAGAGATGGGCTCTGACCCTAGCAGCTTATGATTACGAGCTGGTTTACCGAAAAGGTTCTGATATGTGTAATGCAGATGCAATGTCAAGACTGCCCTGTAATGTTGATTGCAACCCAGATGAAGTCGTAGCTTTCTTTTCTTCCATTGATGAAATGCCTATAACCTTCAAGGAGATTAGTCTCGCCACCCGCCACGACCCCGTCTTGTCTAAGGTGTTGGACTATACGTTGAATGGGTGGCCTAGCTATAACAACAGCCCCCAATTGAAGCCATATTTCTCAAGGTCTACTGAATTGTCTGTTGAGCAGGATTGCTTACTCTGGGGAAGGAGAGTTGTGATACCGGCGCCGCATCGGAAGGAAGTTTTGGCACTCTTGCATAAGGAACATCCAGGGGAAAGTCGAATGAAAAATCTGGCCCGCAGTTACGTGTGGTGGCCCAACATGGATAATGACCTAGAGGAGATGGTTAAAAATTGTTTTATTTGTCAGTCCACTCGGAATTCGTTGCAGTTGGCCCCGTTACAACAGTGGTCGTGGCCCAAGCATTGCTGGCAGCGCATACACATTGATTTTGCCTCATTCCACAATAAGGAGTTTTTGATTATTATTGATGGCTTTTCAAAATGGATGGAGGTTTTCTACATGACGTCAATCACGTCAGCCAAGACAATCGAGAAACTCAGGACTTGTTTTTCTGCCTACGGTCTTCCGTCAACTTTGGTATCAGATGGTGGCCCTCAACTTAATTCAAAAGAGTTTGATGATTTTTTGAAAGCCAATGCTATCCTTCATGTGGTCACCCCACCGTACCACCCAGCTTCGAACGGCCTTGCTGAACGAGCGGTACAGACTACCAAAAAATCTTTTATCCGTCAGCTTTTACATGATGAGAAGTCCGGAGAACCTCGGGCTTTACAACATCGCATCGACAGTTTCCTCTTCGCCTATCGAAATACTCCGCATTCGACCACAGGAAGTACCCCAGCAGAGTTATTCTTACGGTTTGTACCAAGAAATCATTTGAGCTTGTTAAAACCCCACCTCGCTCGTTCAGTTGATGAAAAACAGTTGAAAATGGAAGAAGCGGCTAATAAGAGAAGAGGCAAATTCAGATCATTTGTAGTAGGGGAGGAAGTATATGTTAAAAGCGTAAGACAGGAATCTTTAAACTGGATGCCAGGACAGGTTGTTAAGGTAGTGAGTCAAGTGACTTATTTAGTGAAGGTACAAGGCCGTACTCGCTTTGTTCATGCTGACCACTTGCGTCCTAAATTTGGAACAAATGTCGAAGAAGAAACCCTTATGACATTACCTACACCAGTTTCCCCAGGAAGGCCTAAGACTAGCCCGGGTATTAATAAAACAGTAGAGGAGATGAAGGATGGTTGCGAGATGGATCAACCTATAATTCAAGACGAAGTACATGAACCTGACCCAGTGAAGACAGTAAAAACCCCAAGCCCCGGAGGACCTCTTCGCCGTTCTCAGCGTGAGAGAAAACCTCCAAGGAAACTCGATCTTTAATCGAAGTAAATAAGTTCCCTCCAAGAAGAATTAAGTATTTTATGTTCATGAAGAAGTTTTAATTTTTGTTTTTATTTTGAGAAGATATATTGATTGTTTTATCCTTTTATGATGGTTGGGAGGGAATTGTTATAAACCAGAAGAGATATTGTTTTGTTTATTATATAATCAACGGTATTAACCATATTACATATAGTACCTATACATATTGGCAAGTTATTATCAAGAAGGCCATGAGGAAGACGCGGAGAATAGGCGAAGAGGACCGGCTCGCTGTCTTGGAAATTCTACAAGTGAGTACGGATCGCCATTTTTACTATCACTTTTTCTAAGTCCAATTAGCCTAGAAATTATCAAGTTAAATGCATTTACATTAACTGGCGACGAGTGTAAATTAAAGTATTTTACTTTGTGCGCGTGTGAAAGTCTTTTTTTCGATTTACAAGAGAAAATTAAATTGTGTTCGACCAAAAGGAGTTTGGTCTAAACAGGCAAAGACGCCTTGCAGGAAAAATCTGGTCGAAAAAGAAGGAAAATTTTGATTTTTACTGGAATTCAAGCATTATTCCGAAGCTAAAAGTATTTTATATTTTGGAGAAAGGTATTTGGTTGTATATAAGTCTATTTTTTCCCAACGAGTTGGTTTTGTGATGGAGTAATGAACTTTTTAAAACTTCCATACTCATGTCTAGGGTTGCCCCTTTTAAGGCCTAGGCCTATTGTCTTACTTCAGACACCATATGATAATCACGAAAAATGGCTTCGAAACAAATACTAGGGAAAATACAAGAGTTCAATAAAGACCAGGAGTCTTTTGAAAATTATATTGAAAGATTACAATTTTTCTTTAAAGTAAACTCAATTGAGGACAATGCTAAAGTTCCCCAAGTCCAATTAGCCTAGAAATTATCAAGTTAAATGCATTTACATTAATTGGGATGGGAACTTTTTAAAGAAATATATTTCCGTTCGCTTTTTCATTTATATTTTATTTTCCCTACCTACCTATATTTCGTCTAATCGGCCTAATCAATCATAAATACTAATTCATTGCATCAGTTTGGCTTCATAATGCAGACTTTCCACGTGTAAATTTACTTTCGTAATTCAGTAACAAATCTAAAAGAATGAAGATTACTAAACAATATTCGTACAATAAATGTAGTATTTCGAGAGAACACGTACTTGCAATGTTGGCAGAGAGGTGGAGGCGAGGTTTATTGTTATCTGGGAGTATTACAAGATACGCCAAAGGCAGAATATACTTTTTCTGGCGTATATTATTACGCCGGATCATTTAATTATGTTTTTATTTAATTCTTATCGTATATTAACATCTATATACATAAATTGAACCTGTAGCTATGCCGGTGCTAATAGCTAAGGGATTTAATGAAAGAAAGAAAATGGGGATTTTAAAAAATATATAGCATTTCAGAAATTTTCGGTAAAATATTGAATACAAACAAAACGAAACATACAAACTTAAAAATTAAAAACTTAAAGTATAGTTGTTTGATTTTCCTTTGATTAACTTTATTAACGGACTAAAATTTAAATAATATGCCAAAAAGAAAATGAATGAAAAGTAAACAGTATTACTTTGTTATAGCAGCTTAAGATACTAGTGGAGGAAATATTTCCAATATAGTAAACCTGTGACTTATTACGAACAAGTGCTTCATTACTGTCAAGGACAATAATCTGAATCAATAATTTGGATTGCCAATGTATTTATATTATTTTTCTTTGTGTCAAAGGTTGTCCAATTCACTTCAACCATCCTGGCGTCACTGAGTACAAATACCTAAACATCCCTAAAAATGTTTTTAAATGATTATATCTGATTACCCAGATTCTATCCCTTAGGCTTGTAGAGCCAGTAAAATTGTATTTACACATTCACCTTTAATATATGTACTATATGCTACGAACACCATGTTGATTACTTTTATACAAAAAGAACAGTGTATTATAGGCTAATAACCTTCACCTATTAGCCTAATTTGGCATCACCATTTAATGATACATCCGCACACGTTTTAGAGGGCGTTGAAGTGTCTACAGAAAACGTGACCCATTCCTATTGCAAGTTAGTTTTCTGTCTCTAAGTAGATTTGTCAGTCCATATAATATTTCATCCCCACTCGAAGGTTGTGGAACTGACGTTCCTTGAAATTGTTTTCGCAGCTACATCATGTTTCTTGAAGACGAAACCTAAGCTTTCTTCTGTAGACAAAGTCAACCTAAAAATAATATAATTTTAGGTTTCCATTACAGTTTAATATTAAGTTTAAACTCTTATTAAAGTCATTATTTTTTATTAAATTAAATTTAGTAGTTTTATATGATAACTTCAAAATGATATCGTTGTCCTACCTTTCACTATCCTTACTTAAATCTTTGACATCGTAACAAAGTTATAGAAAAATACAACTACCGAGATCACAGCTTTTGTAAGCGTTAACTGTTTCAAATGCTAGTTTACATTAATATTGTGAACAATTTTGTACTCAATGAGCAGTTATGCCATAACAGTAAACCTCTTAATGTTGTTATAAATGGTTAGTTGTATTGGTTGTATGACACTCCAATGCAGAATTTAATTACATCAAGAGTTCCTGTTTACATAAAATACAATAAAAAATCAAATAAAATATATTTTAAATTCCCTAATTATAATTTTTTCACGTAGCCTAGTAATTTTTCTTTTACTTTTAGATATGAATTTATTTTACTCGTATGTAAAAATAAAATTATAATAACAAAGCTAGTCAAATTTAAATCATAATCTACATTATTAGACGCTATGCAGCGTAGGCGTTGACATGATTGCCTAATCAGTTTCTGTCCATTTACTCATTTACATACAGATAGTTAGCTCCATTTAATCGTTTCGTGTAAACACAGAAGGACTCGATTCAATGGTTTCAATTAATTGTAGTTACAGTCATGAGTTGTTTTTACAATTTTACCGTACAAATTGTACCTTACTGCATTTGGTTTAGGTCATTAAAATCCAATTATTATTATTTATCGAATTGGTCTGTGGCAAACAATGGTTTTTAAATTTTTAATATTTACCATATTTATACAAATATTTAAATTACTTGTGAGTTTTGGCTATATCTATAAAACACTGAGTTGGAAAAAATTTGTTTATGAGACTTTATCCTTTATTCAAATATATTTTAATGGTATGGATTTCAAGTTTTGGGAATGATTGATCAGATTAAAATTAAAACAGACCATTAAAACAAATCTTTATAGACCTCGTGCATTCTGACACATATTTTACAACATTTTGATTTTATTAACGGGAGTCTATGACTGTACACTTTAATTCAAAAGCCAAAATTAGTTCGTATTGTTGTTTGGTAAAGTGAAAGTGATAGAATCTATATATATAAAAGGCAAAGCCCTCACTGACTGACTCACTCATCACTAATTCTCCCACTTCCCATTTACCTAGGAGGCTGAAATTTGGTACACTGATTCTTTAGGCATTAAATAGGAAAACTAAGTTGTTTTTATTCAGATCGGACTCTCGGGCTCCGCCCCAGTGGCTCTGGAGTTTCCCATGTTAACCTTTTGAGAAATGGAATTAATGAATCTTAACAGCTGTTTCATTAAACAAGTTGGTTCTGTTCTATGATGTTCAATAGCATTAAAGTTACAAGGATTACCAACAGGATGCAGCATTATTATTTCTTTTACATTTATGACAACAGCTAATTTGCAATCAAAAGGTGAGTGAGCATAGCGAACGAACTTCAACCTGGAGGCGAGTTAGCGTAGCGAACGAGATAACCTGAAGGCAAGTGAGCGTAGCGAACGAGCCAACCTGAAGGCAAGTGAGCGCAGCGAACGAGCTCCAACCTAAAGGTGAGTGAGCGTAGCGAACTAACTTCAACCAGGACGTGATTGAGCCATGCGAACGAGATCATCTTGAAAATTAAGAAGTTAAACGGGGCAAAGCCGCGGGTTACAGCTAGTATCTCAATAAATTTATTAGTGATTTTTAAACATAGAAGCTTATTGATTAATTTTTTTGTCATTGATAAAATAGAGCTATAAAAGATGGTAAGGATCAGTAATTTTATATGTAAACCCTGCAGATATAGGGGTTGTATGAAACTGTTTACTTACTTCTAAGGTCGTGGCAGAGAGATCTATAAGTTATTGTAGATTTATGCAAATAATGTCATTAACCCCTGCATCATTCAACTAATATTGTACTTAAATAAAAACCGGTGGTGGGTGTAACTCAGTTTTAAAGTGGTACTTTCTTAGTTTTCTGAGGTAAATTTATTATTTTAAAACAAAACATGTGACTTAATCAAAAATTAACTGAATGAAGAGGCGGGGAGAAAGATTCTCGCAGAAATGTAAGGTGATTGTTACTGAGCTAAAGGCAGATATCCTCCCTCTACCAGCCCTACCCTTCTATACCCTTGAGTAGAATAATGATATGTCAACTTCCGATATGTTGAGACTGTTCCACCTGTCTTTGACTAGTAGGTTGAAATTGAAATAAACTCTACAATAACGTTATTATCTTTTCAACTTCTTACACTTTTAATGCAAGATTAGTTCATATACAGATCTGATGATGGTGGAAGCACAGAGATGCACATAATCGAGTCACATGTTAAATCTGGACCATAAGGCGAGATCGGGTAATGTGTATGGTAATTATTAGGTAACATTTTCATTTGATACTATAAATGGCGAGTGCAATGTTATTTTTTTAGTTAGTTATAGGAGAAAAGGTACAATTTTGAACTTTCAGCTCAATATTATTTGATTTTTTTTCTTTTCGAGGTTGTGCCTAAGTTGTCTGTTTGAAAATCATTTTCCTACATTACGTGAAACTACATTTATCACATTATATTATGTATTACTATTTTAAATTATTGTTTCCTGAAATGTGAATGGATCGTATTAAAATAGTCTCTGGTATACTCCTTTTCCGTATATTTTTTATAAGGCTACACTGA